ATTTGAGTAATATTGTCAGTTTTACAGGCCACATTGGTAAATGCAGAGACATGAGGTTTTATGAAGGGCCATTTCAAGGTATTAAGAAATCTCACAATAAGAAACTTTGTTAAGACCAAATTATACACTTCCTTTAAGTTGAAAATTGGAAGCAGACGTAATTTCTTGCAGAATGCTTGAAATGACAAATATTTTTATGTATGTTTTTAATGAAATGTTGTTGAAGTTTTAAGGGTATCGAAAATCAAATAGAAAATGCATGCTAATTAAGTAGTCATTTTGCAGAGTATATTTTTTACATGAAGCCGGACGGAAGTTTGTTCGAAAACCGGCATCCTGAGGTAACTGAATCATTATAGAATTATGCTGCGCAATTATTAATTTTACAACCCAACCTAATTAATCTTTTCGGAACGAAAACGCATTTTAAAATTTCGGTTGACATTTAATGAGTCAGCTCACCTATTTTAACGATAGTTTCCATGACTTCTGATACGGAAAACCTATTGATGTCTACCATTGCACTTCGACGATGAAATTCACATGAATCTCGGAGGAAGCTCTGTCAGCCGCTAAAAGTGATTGTGTACTAAGCAAGATGAAATGGTGCAAGTGCTTTAAAAGTGGACCTGTTACGAAGTACCTTATAGTTCTCTTGATTCTGAAGCAAACAGACCACAAATTGTCAACTTAAGAAATGTTCAAAATAAAAAAATTGTCAGAAAGACAATTCTAAACTTGTTTAATCACCTGTACGTTCAAGGTGGCAAGTGTTTTCTAAACCGGAAAATTAAGCAAAATGGGAATAGTTGTACCGGCAATAAACCAATAAGTGAACAACTAAATCGTGAAAGTTGTTTCAATCTTCCAAAACCAAAGCTTTATATTTCTATCATCGGATTTCTTTCGATGGTTTTCTATACTCAGCACAACAATCCAAAATTTCAAAGCACGGTCTCAGCTGTATGGTGCTTATCAAACTGCATTTGGTGAAATCATGACTATCTAGTCACAGCAAACTCTAATCTACGAAATCATGCAGGGATAAATAAATTACACTGCCTAATTAAATTAGCACACGAGGTCAGGTTCCTCCTCACATACAATTTGTGAGTGATGAAACAGCAACCGCGGTTTAAATTAATATAAACGAAGCAACACGTGATACGAACAGTTATAAAAATAAAATAAAGACGGGATGTATTTCCCTTATATTTAGCAATTGTTGAGGTTTCCCCTGCTTTTATACTGTTAAGTTTCTCATGTTCATGGGCAAGCTCATGCGACTGAAAATTGTGGGAGGCTGAAGACACATCCTTATTTCCTACCGTACGGTTTTCACGGCCACAAATATTCCCTGAGAAATTTCGTGAGCTGATTTTCTGGGTCACGGACATTTTTCAGTGTCTGCCGCATCTACCGGGATGACGCGCTGTTCAAAGGAGTGACGCTAGCACAGTCTGTGATATTCGGCATGCACATGTATTCGATGTAATTCATTCGTGCCGCTATTCTTTCAAAAATGCAGCCAACTACGGAGCAGTTGTCTACTAAATGCATCCCAAATTACACCACATCACGATTATTTCACTGCGACGCACACACACACCATCTGTTGTGGGCATTTGCGCGGGCGGTGCAGTGAATCAGCTTGCGCTGGTTTTCGCCGAGTCGTCGATTGCACTCCTTTTTGCTGTTCAGCAACGATAGTTTCAATGAAACGAAAACGAGGAGGTAACTTATCTTCTGGGCTGGTAAGCGTGGGTCCCCTAAACCGTTATATTTGAAACGCTTGTTTCTGCCGGGATGCGTCCCATTGGTATTGCATGTCTTCGACGAGGAGGGATGCTGCATACCCATCTGAGTAGAACGCAACCTCCAGAGGAAGTTTTGTGCCTCTTAAGCCGCTTACCATATTCTTCTCTCAAAACTTCGTTTTCGTCGGTGTCACTTAGAGATAAAATTGAAATAAGACTAAGTGCAATACGGCACAGTGCCGACCGTAGTGATGAAATATTAATGTTCACACAGAAAACTGTGGACCGTTGTTTTGAGATTTCCCCCTATACTGCAGTGTTCACATTGTCAGGGTAAAAGTAAATACTGCAAAACGCTTAGTGGTTGCTGGTTGAAGGACAATTCCAGGTCCCCAGCGGAAAACTAGGCATTGTCGGGAAAATGCTTTAAAACCAACTTATATCTTCCTGGTTCAACTTTCATAAAATACCAATGACACCCCAAACGCGGACGGAAACCGTCGTCATGATCTCTGAGACAGCTAATACTTAGCATGATAAGGCTAAGCAGCAAGATACATATTTGCGGGTCCGAGTCATTTTCGTCTAATCTAGATAAGATTTAAATAATGCCCACCAATTCATGAAATTCGTTTTGTATTTGGATTGTAAGTTAGACCTGACAGTGTATTTCGAGGTAAACATAAGACGGACCTTTAAACATCTAATATGTAGATTATTTCCTTTCCAAAAAAGATGGACGTCACCTAATCTAATCTAAATTATTCGAAAAAGGCTATCGACTATCTGAGGTTTGATCTCAAATCCTTATGATATTAAACATTCTCGAAGACAGGAATGAACAACCTACACAAAACCCCAAATCGCCGTTTTCTCGCCTACAAATAAGCGCTTTTGTGATACATTTCTTGACGCATGTTGTCATGTGCGTATCGGCTATTAACGGCATACAATTATACCACGTGTATCATAAGCAGGCTATAAAGTACGGAACAGGATATTCATTGCAAGTACGCGTTACACACTAGGCATTCATGCGGTTCAATCTTAGAAATCGCTATGGCAGTTTATTTTGCAAAATTTACCAGAAAATTAAACAGGCAAAACAATTGAGGACGAATCTTTAGTGAGAATGGGTTGTTTAGCGTCATGCCGAGTCAGAAGAGCAGTAGGCTATGTATTTCCTTAGAAACAGGGAAAATAATCGTAAGTTCGAGGTGGTCGACCGTTTGAATTGCTGGCATCGTCGTTGCAGACAAAGTACCAATTTTAGCTGAAGCAAAGAGCACAGTTCTAAGAAACGGTTCAGAATAAAAGAGGTACGATTGCTGGAGTAGGAAGTTTATTGATCCGAGGTTTAGGATTCTCACTCGAACCCATCATCAGGGGTAATGATGATGTAACAACAGGTAGCGCAGTATTCGTAGGACACAGCTGCCATCAAACCAATCTGCGTTTTCGCGCTGTGACTTTGTCCACGCAAGGGTAACTAACCACAGGGGAAGGACGCGGACAACAAACACCTCCAGTGACAACTAATCAAATGTCCGAGTAATTATCTAGCCAAGACTGAGTGGGATATGGAGAAGAACATGCTTTACTGTAAAAGTCTCTTACAAAAGTTTCAGCCAAAAAGGCCTTCCATTGACCGTGGATAGATGCGAGTGACGAGGATGGTAGTGTTTTCACGAACTAACGAGTTATATCTCACGATCCCCTAGCCTTAAAGGCACCAAGTAAAACTGAGCAGTGAATAATATAGAGATTTTGAATGTTAAGTAACCTGACAACAGAGCGCGACAGCAACGCAGGCCAGCAAGGCGGGTTTTACAGGTGTGTCGTTTCTCGTCACATTCAAACAAGCACTCCGGTCAAAGAAAATGGGACTAAATTGTCAAAGGTAAATTATTCTGGTACCTCACCACATGAGTACGCAAAATAAATAGCACAGGAGGATTAAAACGCGACATGTCATTCGTGAACAGCAACTGTCAACATCATGGACAGTCACCGGCGGATTCGGTGCAAAAGTATATCCCACAACTTATCTCCATCGAAATGGCGCTAGCGTGCTATACCTTTTACTTCATAATTGTTTATATAAGCGAAGGGAATAAAAACTAGTATACAGCACGCAAAAATTGGTCACATGAAGGGAAAGCACAAAAATGGCAACTCAAATTTAAAAGCCCGCAAGTCGATGAAAGCACCATCATTAAGGACTGTGATGCGGACGAAGAACCGTCATTGCATCAAACGCGATGCCCAGCAATGAATTCATGTACAGCTGATTACAGTAGGCTCATAGTTGTCTTACAAATAATGCACTCCAATACTCCCAGTATACTTATCTGTGACCATCTCTGACGATGGGTTCGAATGAGAATCCGAAATGTCAGCTAAATAAAATCCTTGTTCCAACAATCGCATTCTCTTCGCCCAAACAGTGTACAATATTAAGAGTGCATATTAATAAGTTCAGGAAAACTCAAACACCCAGTTATCAGTCTAATCACGCCAGCAATTTTGTAGTGGAGACAATTCATAAAGGGGATGACGGGTAGTATCATCAACAGAATTTTTAATTGATTTTAGGTTGATTGGAAACACTGATAAAAGACGTCAAAAACTTTTACGGCATCCAGAGAAGGGGGCTTATAATGGAACCCATAGCTTGTTTTCATTCAGACAAGACAACCAGATTTTCTGTAAAGTACAGTGGTTTTAAATAATGCCTGGTAGACCTAAAATTACCCTAATCCAAGTAAAAAAAAATGTGACTTCTCACACGTACTGTAAGGTTTGGAAACCACTATAACACGACAAGTGTAAAAACGTCTAGAAAATTCAAAGAGCAATACACATCAGTGGCATTCCCCCCGGTTTCGCTGCAAAGACATCATACTTTTGCGAACGGATAAATAACCTTTATTTTCAAAGGAATAATGTACAACAGAAGTTCAGCGAATATTCCCATGTTACAATTGAAAAGTCAAATTGGCGAACACGTGTTTTCAGTAACTCCTCATCAGGCCAAAACGGTTACAATGAAGTTTAAGTTATGCGAATTACATGACTTATAAATGATTCGGGGACAATTAACATCGATCGTTCCCACGCCACTCGCATGACGAGGCGTGCTATGGCGTGGTCGGCGTGTCGTGGTCATTGGGTTCAGGGGGCGAGGAAGAGGGGGGGCATAGGCTGTGAGTACGTCGTGTACCTTGTGCACCCACCCTGGCATCAGGAGGTTGGGGCGACGTTGGGGTCGGCGTCGGCCACGGAAGACAGAGCGCCTGTGTCAGAGTCTTCTGGCAGCATAGCACTGGATTGTCCCTGAATCATTTATAAGTCATGTAATTCGCATAACTTAAACTTCATTGTAACCGTTTTGGCCTGATGAAGAGTTACTGAAAACACGTGTTCGTCAATTTGACTTTTCAATTACAACAGAAGTCTTAACATAATCCCTTTCCGCAGTATTTCACGCGCAAACTTAAACATATGGGATGATTTTTAACCCAAATTACTAGATAGCTCCCAAAAGAGAGCTCCACAGTCTGACAGAGTCAAATCTGTTACCAAATGGGGTTTACAATTCTTTTCAAATTCCACCATTTCGCACATTCCGGTTGAACAGTCAAACGTGACTTGAAACCCATACCTGCATTTTTACGTAGGGAGATACAAACTTATTTGATCAATATTGTAAAATACGGTACGTCCTGCCTAAACAATTATCGCAGGTTAGCTATGAGAAAAAGAATAACTTCATGTAAATTAACAACCTTGGAAAGACAACGGTTAATGGAAAAAATCGTATGACTACTACTGTTATAGGACCTGTGGTCTATGGAGTACAGAGAAAGGCCAACTGCTTGATTAGCGTCAGTGTGTAACGACATGATGGAATAACACATTCCGCAAGTAGTGAAGATAAAGTCGCAGGAAATTCGCAGTAATGGTGGTTAAATCGCACTTGGTTGCCAGGAATGGGGAAGTGGACGGCGACCCTAACCCTAATACTAACCTTAACCCTAACCCTAACCTCTACCTTAAACGTTAACCGTTAACCCTAACGGCAACCCTAACCGAAATCGTAAACGTAACCGTAACCCTTAGACACAGCCGTAACGGTAAAACTTAACCGTAATACTGAATCCTAATCGTACGCTCAAACTCTAGCCGTAACCCGAAAACCTAAGCTTAAAGGCATAACCCTAACCTGAATATCGAAAACCATTAACCGGTACCCTAATCCTAACCTCAAACGCAAAACGGAAGCCAAATGGGTCAGATGTAATCAAGGAGCCCCACTAAATAGCCCCAGTAAATAAACCACCCAGCCACCTGTAATAGGGGGCCTGGCTACCAACTGCGATCTAGCCATGCGGACAAGCATTAGGATTAGGGTTAAAAATAGGATTCGGGAGTAGGTACGCCTCCTTGAACCTAACGCAAAACCACCTGTAGTAAGAGCAGTCTACATTTCCGTGCTTACCCTTAAAGTTAAATTGAAGTTGAACATCTGAGGTCAGAAACTGCTAGTAAGTCAAAATGATATGTACAACACTTCCTAGAAATATCTACGAAAGATTTGAATCGCCAGTACCGGCTGGGTTACAGCATGTCATACGTTAGGAAAGCTTCTTCGCAACAACATCTTACCATGTTACTCATTTTTGCATTAACATTAAAAAGGACTCACGAGAAACTTAGATCATCCACCGCTTGTTGGAAACTTCTTAAAACAACAGCTAGTTCGAACAATAAGTATTTTGGATTTTTTTCGCCGTTAATGGACTCATTTACGAGAGTTTTGACTCGCATCTGTCATTACGAACGTACGATATTTCTTAGGCTGTTGAATGCAGAAAATCTTCATTTGAATTTATGTTGGTTAAAAACGTTCGCATATTCACTTGTTAGTGACGACTGCTTGTTTTACTAACATATACGTGTTCTCCTACTTGGCCACGTTTAAATGCAAAGTCAAATTAGGTAAAAAAATTCGTTTACATTAAATGGCTTGAAATAGGCCCAAATATCCGAAAAATTAGTCCCACGCCAGTTTTCAGATGAAAATTTTACTGCAAGCCTATTTCATGTGCACAGTGAAGTTTAAGTTTTCTTTATATTTCCAAGTTAAGGCTAAATTAAGGACGTTCAGCATTATATCAAATACCATCCGGGACTCACGTGCACAAGACTATCTTTCAGAGAACTCCAACTTTTGCCTTGTTCAAACCTTTTACCAGTCCACCTCAAGAACTTATTGGGGAGTGAGCGACCAGGCAGACAAATGTGTTCCGCTTGTTATGTGTTTTCTTCAGTATATTTGAACTACTATAAAACATATTTTAAAAATTTTAGCCTTAGACTGACGGACAAAAATTCAGGTGGGAATGAAACAATCAAGAAGGCATCGATGGCGTTCTTTTACCTGCCGCACATCATGAACTTATTACGCCCATAGATCTTAATAAAGCTTAGTTGACAGTTCTCCCATGAATACGAACCGTTGTTTCCTATTCCGCCCAACGAGTTTAGGGGGCTTTGAAAAGCACATGACTCGTTGTATGAACCTTTTTAAAACCTTTTGATAGGTTGTATGTCGTTATAAACCAGGAAACACGAAATCCTCTCCATAATAAGCGGCATTTTCTAGGTTATTCTTCGGAGATTCTAACCTCAGATGACTGTGACTGCGAGTTCTTATCACATTCCGCCAGTGAGTTTTGGGGAACTTTCAAGTGCACATTATTTGTTGGATAAACCTTTTCAAAGCTCTGTACTCTTTGAAAGCCTGGATGTCATTATGAAACGGGAAACACGAAATCCCTCCAAAATAGGCGAAACGTTTAAGGTGACTGCGAGTTCTTGTCTTTTGCGTGTCAAGAATGAAATTTTTTGTGAGGCATATGATTAATTTTGGCAGTTTCTTATCCCATTTTCGTACTATATTGCAACACCCTTTTGTTTGTGTCGGACAGTTGCCGCACATGCTATCTCTTTATAAATCATTTTTCTTTTTCAAATATTAAGTCTTTTTTATTTTTGTTTTAGGATGGAAAAGGCTTAAATCCACTCAATTGTAAAATATGAGGTTTTACGTGCAAATACGGCATCGCAGACAGCTTGGAGTATCACTGATGTATTTTGCCCCAATATTACTATGCAGCAGACAGTATTAAGTTGTTCTTAATAAATCTCGTTGCCTTAACTCTGGTTTTACGAATGAGCCGAGCGGTTGTCAAGAATCAAAGGGGGATAATGACAAACCAAAGGTTGTCGTCGAGTCAGATCCATTTAAAAATGCACATTAATTATCGTTGATGCTTCATGTTAGCGAACAAAAAATATTAACTCACCTAGCTGACGCTGACTAAAATTTCTAACTCAAATAATTGACCTTATTTCACTTAATTTTGATATTTATATAGCTGTAATTATGTTTTACAGAGAGCATTCTGAGGAACGCCACTTTTCATACTTTCTGTTGTGGGAAATTGCATACCTCGGAGGTTCATGCTTGAAACGAGGGAGATTTAGGCTCTATAAAGGTCGAATTTCAGATGTATTTAGGAGACTTGTTGTAGCACTCGTTTCTACGGTTTCTACATTTTAGACCATGCATTTATTGTCTTAGCAAACTTGGACATCTTTTCGTGTTATTATAAAGAAGCCACCTAGTACTCACAGTGCGTGACCGAGCTCATGAAATGTTGGCTGAAATTCTGAAATGCGTTTTCGATTAGGAAGGATTACTTGGTCACGGTTGTGAGACTGATTACCTTAAGACATACTGTTATAACATTTTGGACTCGGCAGGATGTCGACTTTAAATGCATTTCTTTTCAATCTCCTGTAGAAAGCGTGCTTGGCAAAAAATGACTACTTAAGTAGCATGCCTTTTTCCCATTGATTTTCGATGGTCTTGGGAATTCAAATATATTTTATAGAAACCACAAACAAAAATATGCTTTCTTTTAGTCAATCTATAGAGAATCACGTCTTCTTTATATTTTATACTTAAGAAAGGAGTATAATTAGGTTTTAAAAAAGTTTCTTATTATGAGACTTTTTAAGACCGCGAGATGTACACTCACATAACATCGTACCTGGCCTTTTACCACTGCTCCTCATGAAATGCACAACATGGTCCGCATCCATTGCAAAATTTAATGGACCCTGTATGATAGCTATTTAATGACATAGAAAAATATGAGATTTTCTTTAAGCGGAACGCATGCACTTTGTAGAGTGTAATCACTAAGCGTTAATGCAACGAATGATCAGGCTCCAAATTATTCGGCAATTAGAAAACTTTTTTAAAACCTAGTTATACTCCATTCTTAAGTATAAAATATAAAGAAGACGTGATTCTCTATAGATTGACCAAAAGAAAGCATATTTTTGTTTGTGGTTTCTATAAAATATATTTGAATTCCCAAGACCATCGAAAATCAATGGGAAAAAGGCATGCTACTTAAGTAGTCATTTTTTGCCAAGCACGCTTTCTACAGGAGATTGAAAAGAAATGCATTTAAAAGTCGACATCCTGCCGAGTCCAAAATGTTATAATAGTATGCCTTAAGATAATCAGTCTCACAACCGTGACCAAGTAATCCTTCCTAATCGAAAACGCATTTCAGAATTTCAGCCAACATTTCATGAGATAGGTCGCGCACTGTATAGTGTAAGTATCATGTTAATTATTTTATCTGGAAACCTTTTAAAGCCAAAATAGAGTCCTCCTTTGATGCAAAAGTCGACGATAAGGTACCCTCCCGCAGAAAGATTACAAGGACTGACTTTTATAGCACACCGTCCGTAAAATGTAATCCAGTTTACGTAGACGACAATGATTAGTAAAAAGCGTGCAACTTATTTTATAGGGCGTGATTTATGTAAGTGGATGTAAAGTTTCTTAGCATACAACCAGGATTTGAAAATGCATAAAGTGTCTTAAGATTCCATTGCTAGTTAGTGAATAGGTACTGCAGTCTTTTCCAACCGAGAAAGTTTGTGGAATTTCAGTCGAGGCTACGTCTGTTTCGATTTTCATAGAATCTATTATACACTTTTTCCTATAACAAGCACAGATGATAGCAATTCGAAATTTTCAAATCTAGAGAGCAATGCGTTTCAGTTGCTAAAGTTGGTTTCTTTCAACAAAGAAACAGTTAAGGCAGAATGATATTACCGACAAAGACAAGGGAGACTGGAATGGCCATTTCTGGCTTATTAGCGGTCGTCAGCCAGCCATACCTAAGCCCGAAGTGTGGAACACCTGAGCCTCGAACTCGCGACCTGTTGGTTTAGAAGTCAACGCCTCTACTCACCGGGCCACGAGCCCGTTGCCCTGTCGGATTTCGATCGGGAATGTACAATGTTAGGGGGCGCACACCGCTGCTGTGCGGCTGCTGGTTGGGCTCGAGAGAGAGCCCCTAAGGCAAAACGGAACGAGTGAGTTCCGTATGAACGATCGGTGTGCGCCCCCTAACAAAGAAACAGTTTGCCTACAAATACTCTACGAGGAAGGCAGGAATTCATTTTATTATATGGGATTCAGCACTATAATATTTGATAAATTTTTGCTAGTCCTGCTAATTAAAATGTCGGCTTCGTACCGGGGACAGAATGTTTCAAATTTTCCGAGTCCGCCTTTAAAGCCTAGACGGTTCGCCGAGCTTGTTTGAATGGGTGGAAATTCAGCTAACATGCCCCACTTCTGCGTTTATATGACTGTAAATAAAAGGTTGCGATTTCGAGAACTTGGCACAACATTTCCGCCAGTTCCAAAGTTTTGCTGGTTTTGAAAGACGAAATAAGTTTCGTCTGCCCTAAAAGCAACCTTCAGCAAAAAGCATAAGGTAGTGAGTTTAAACGTGGTCGTCCGATTAACCTTATAGCTCTCATTATGCATACTCGTGAACCTTTGAAGTGATTAGACCGGCTTTTCTACTCAGAAACTTTATTAGTATGTCGCAAACAGTGTGTTTATAGGGGAAGGGTAGCCGTCTAAGACTTTGTGAAACCTTAAAATTCGTGCGGGAAGAGCCTTGACGGTCAAGTTGAATATCAGTCTAAGTCAAAATTCGCTCAAATAAAATGACAGTTGAACAGTCATCGACGTTCGAAGAGTACGCCTGAAGGAACAGATAAGATTTGAATGTGTTTCATATGAGTACTGTGGCCCATCTCGACAAAGTATTTTCTGCTAACTGCAACAGCAAACGTCTCCATTTTCCCCTTCCTTTTCCATAGCTATACTAATAAAATGTCATTTCCTAATATTTTTATGATCACCTTCTCATCTCCACCTCGGCACATGGAAGACTGCCCAATAAAAACATTCTGACAAATTTCTTTTAACATAAAAACTAACCCTTCCAACTCGGGATTAACCATATAGATTGACTGATTGACAGCTAGAAAGAATCCCCGTGGGTTCGAAATGAGGATTCAAAAAGCTAAACGTCATTCTATCTAAAACCAGCGACTTGTAGGACGAAACATCGAGATCGACTAACTTGTATCCTAATGAAATCCATTTTTTTCATTCGTTTAACCATAATGCTTTTAATTCGAGGAGAACAAGATGCCTATGTGGTTTTTACCTTATAGCACAAAGCGTGCGTTGATGGAAATTAGTCTTTGCCCATCCTGGGGATCTCTACCTACAAATTTCGAAAAAAACGCATTGACTGCCATACCCAAAAATACAGCAAGTTCCCCAAGGCTGCAGGTGTGCGTTTAAACGATTTTCGCAACTTTTCACTAATTTCATGATCAGGACTTCAGCGGCAGTCAAAAGCTTTAAAGTGCACGTGTTTTGTTCATTTTAGCAAAGCAGGTCAACACAAGATTCTATAATTTGTTTTTTTCATTTGCGAAATACGCTGGGACAGAAAGCAACTGTGAGGAGAGGGAAAGCCAATGTGGCAGGTTATGCGCTGAATCTGTCCCTACGTTTTATGGTAAGTCCTTACAATTTTAGGCTTGCTTTTTTGGTAAAAGTACACTATAGCTAAAAAATTTACGTTTTACCAAAAATTTTATAACTCTTAGTGGAAGGGTGACATTGATAACGCGTTAGATTTGGAATTCCTGTTTTTAACGCTACTGACCGGCTTTAGCCTTACTTGTGATGCCTAATGACCCTCTTAAAATTTGATAAAATCGGTTCGCAGTTTCCCTCAAAATGGTTCATGAACGTTTACCACAATTTTAGCCAAATATATATTTATAAGAACGTGATTTAGTGGGCCTAGATTTTTTACCTTAACCTAATTAAAAGGTGTCCTATGAACACAGGCTAACCTTATGAGTTGTCAAGGCAAACGGTCTGGCTCTGCTGCTCCGCATGCCTATAAACGGACCAATGAAAAACCGCCTTCTGGTGGAATTTGTTTTTGAACGTATAATCAGCCCAAACTGTACGATTGCGATCGGAATAGTCGCAAGCAATTCGCTCTGGAATGTATAAGTTAACTGATGGCGCAACACCAACTGCGTCTCAACCCATTCCGAAATATGTGTACAGTCATTGTGTTGTTTCCTGATCTTTCTATCGGCGGTTGGTTATTTGTGTATTTCAGATCTTTAATTCCCTTCAAAAAATGCTTGATCCAGTTGCTCTGTTGTGAATTCTTCCTCGGGTATATACCCGATCACAACCGATAGGATAACGAGCCCCTGGCTCGGTGGTTAGGTGCGTTGGACTTTTAACCAGCAGGTCGCGCAATCAGGCCCCAGGTGTTTCACACTTCGGGGTTGGGTGTGACTGGCCGACGACGGCTACTTAGCCAAAAATGGTCATCCTAGTCTCTCTTGTTTTTGCCGTCAATTCCATCCTGATTGCATTTTTGTTAGCAGAAAATATCACTGAATAAGTCAATTTTGACTCCGCTCTTTGTATGTTTACTATACACTCTATTTTGTCCTAAGGAAATAAACTACTAAAGAACAAGACTACAAAATGGAAGCCCTGGTAAATTTCGTAGGGAAATCTATGTGATTTATTATTTAAATTTGACTGAAATTAAAATTACTGCGTTGAATTCCTGGGGTCTGATAAATGGAGTTTTAAACGATATGTTTACATGCCACTGAGACCTTTCGCAGCATTCAACGAAAACCGCGACAGTTTCATTTGCTAAAGGCTGAAATTTACCAAATATCTCTAGGTAAAATCCCACAATATAGGTTTTGGTCGTAAATTTAATTTCGAAGAAGGGGTTTTCAAGTACTCATAGTTAGAAGGGATGGCCAAAGAGGTGGTCTAAGCATTAGATAAGAGCATAAAAATCACATCAGCGAGTGAATTTGGCAAGTTTTAAAAGGTGGTCCATGTCTTTTAACGGTGATACAGGTGAATCAATCGATTTAGGAAGCCATTCGAATAGGAACTACCACAAAATAAAGGTAACCTTTCGCTAAACCCCAGGACGAATACCTATACCAGTGTCTCAAATTTGGACCTAACACTACTCCAAACCCCGCACTCAACCCTAACATTGATCCCAAACCCCACCTTATTATTAACTTTTAACTCAACCATTACTCTAACTTTAAACACAGTTCTTGTTTAACCAATAGAAGAGAAGGGACGAGTCCCAGGAAGCAGTCCTGAAGAAGGAAACACGATCAATGGAACAAACACTTTATTCGCCTCACGCCCCAGATTTCTGTTTGGACCCATCATCAGAGAAAACAACAACAACAACAACAACAACAGATACGGGTAGTTCATGCAGAAGGGACGGCTGCATTTAAAGGTTGCATTCATCATGCTACAGCCCACCTATGAAAATTCAGGTTTCCCTCCATCAGGAATTGTTGCACATGGTGAGATGATTTTTTGATGGCCGGCATTCGAGTCGTTAATCGTTGCAATTTCATCACGGGTGGTGGATGTTGGTATGATGATTGCTCGACCATCTGGCCCACTGACCCTGGCGCTGTGAACAGTGTTCGCCTGTGCGCTCCTCGCACGGCTATTTACTCCAACGAGGCTAAGTCTCAGCACCGAATATGGAGAGGGAAGTTCATTACACTGGTTAACCATAAGGCTACCTTTTCGCTAACCTTCGGCCAAACCCTAGTCTTGACACTAATTTCCCTGGAAGTTATAGCAAGGCCTCCTATACTCGCGGAGTTGCTAGTCCTGCGTCCTATCACTGACTTTATGAGTTGGCTCGACTCTCGTAGTTAATTCTTGGCTTCTTGGATCCCTTTTAACGTGTCAATAATAGCTTAGGCTCGAAATGCTTTATCCTTTCTGATTCATTATTCTAATTTTTTCTGTCTCTAAAAGCACGTGTGCAAAGCGAAAACAGAAGGAGGGATGAGTCATAAATCACTGCTTAAATCGAGACGTCACGAATGCGGCCACAAATGTGACGACTAGTGCCTCGCCTTCACAACCATTCTTATGGGTGATTTCAACTTCTCGCCTCCTAGACATGTGGATGAAAACCTGGCTGTCCAGCGTAGTGCTAATTCTAAACGCCGTTGTTCAAATCAAGGTGCCTCAACCTAACATAGCAGTTGACTTCAGTAAAGGCCAGAAGTGGTTACAGAGAACAAAACGTTCTCAGCATTCATTTTTGACAATTGAGTATATGGTGGGGAGGAAAAGAAACAGTAGCCTGCTTTTGACTCATGCCCCGTAGGTTTTTTAAGAGGACTGCTCTACCAATTAACGGAAACGAACAACCACCTGCATTTTTGAATTTGTGATGTCCGCGCCGTTTATTAAGTGTCCAGCCACTATGCAACGACGACAATTTCCAACACCTTCGGTGACCAGTCACCAGTTGTTCCAGCCTTCAAATCAATTTTGAACTCCCGAACCCTATCACCGTCAACCCTGGAATTAAGAAATATGCGGGTTCCAGCAGGGCTGATCTCTCAAATAAGGTTAGTGTCGCAATTTCTCTCGGTATAACTTCCGACGATATTTGGACTTTTGTCCGGTATCCATTCTGGTAAGAACAGCTGTACTAGCAAACGAGACAGATAAACTTGATAGACACGATAAAGATCGTTCATGGCAGTGAAGGAACGATCTCGGGGACATAAATTACATTTTTCGGACCCTCCGAAATCAATAAGCGAATTCTGGTCGACGCCATCCGATTCATGGTCAGCAGCCCCGAGTGCGATGAAACGCACTAGTAGACATCTCTGGTTCGACCCTAGTATAACCTCCAACTACAGCAGCTAATTGCCTACAAAGCTTGGAGACAATATGGATGCACAGATGAAATCGTCTGTTCTTCTTACCAAACACTTCTGCTAAAAAGGGTCGTAATGTCTTTTTGTGCAGTGATCAGTGTATTCATTAAATCGCCGTGCTTGCGAAAGAGCGAATTTACGTATATAAGAACGCGTATTTAAAAAATTTCCGGATGAGCAGAGATGCCAATAGGTTTATGGAGAAAATTAAGTTATTTGGCACAGTCTTCGCTTTTTCCGGATTAAAATATCCGCTGAGTTGCTGTTATATTATTTTGCCGTCAAGTATGTGCAGAGAAAATGGGTATTAGATGGCCTTTGCCCCTGTATTCCCAATACTTGCAGGGCAATGCCCAATTACTTGGTTCAAAATCAAATATTGCTCACATTATATGCCGGTAAAACAGAAATCTCCGTGTCATGTTGCAATTTTTTATGACTCTTGGACCGCACTTCGAATTTTCTACCTAATTTTGTCGTGTCATGTTCACAATCCTTAGAGGTGCAAATATTTCAAATGAAGAAGATTGTGCCCTAGGCAGTTTCACACACGAACCTGTATGTATATTGCCCGATGGCTTAATGGACACTTGTGTGATACAATCGTAAGGACAATAATTAACGGACTACGCTTTGTATGAAACAAGTCCTCCGAAAAAACTTGTGAAAATGAAAGATAAAATAACAGCGAAGATCCCATTCAGTGGCTAATTAATTCGGAGTTCTCACTGGTGCCATTATTAGCATCAAAATTGAATGATCAGTTCCCCTTCCTTCAAGTAAGTTTTAAAATGCCCCTTAAACGTTTAGGAAAATTAGGAGCATGCGTTTATTGCAAAAAAACAGATAATAGTAACATTGGAGCACTGCTTCGAGCCGGAGCTTATAATCCTAATCTAGGCACGGTGATTGGGATTTAAATAGACATCCGATCTCTGAAAAACACCTTTCTTCAAAATTAGTGGTAGCAAAAATATACGTTTACGGCTATAGTATCACCTATCATAATGAAGTGGTTCTCAGCAAAAACCGAATGTAGACCTGTTGGACCGGGCACACCAGAAGAGCAGCAGATGCCGAAGATACCCGAATAAGAGGAAGAAGCAAGGACTCGCTGTTTTGCAGCCTTGAGGATCACATACAATAGTTTGACTGTAATTGCCGACATCAAGGTGAGGGTAGGGACGGTGATTTATGCGAGGATTAGTTTATGGTGCTAGTAGACTTGCACAACATCTACCGCACTCTCTCCTCCTCCCCCACCTTGGCCGGTGTGAAAACAGAGTCAAGAAGACCGGAGTCGAGGGAGGGGGGGCGCAGGTGGATGGCACGGTCGAGTCCGCACCTTGGCGTTCCACTTCACACCCCCTGGTCCACAAGGCACATGACCAGGATTTTAACGAACAGCAAAAATGGGGTGGCAGAGGCCGTAATGTTCGCGACGTACACCGCAACCGGGTCTGCTACCGCACCTCGAAATGTTGGTATTTGTTATGGTGCGCAATCCGATAACGCCTGCCGGAATACAATACAGCACCATTGTTGGTCCATCGCATCTGTCACGTGGCCCGTTTGAGGGGCACTAAGTACCACATACAAAACACACATCACGAGCTCTAGTAGGGACTGATAACGATTTTAGATATACGTGCGTAAACCACATCCAAATTGCTGAAGATAAAACTGGAGACGAAGGGATAGCTGGTCAAAGACTCCCATCAGAAACGACCGGACTGACGAGGTTGTCCAAGAATGTGAGAAGCAAGTACTGATCTTACCATCCCAGTTGGAGTAAAAACGTGCGTACTAACCAATCGTGAACACAGTCTCTCAGAAGCTCAGTTGTTATACACTAACGATATCTCGAAGAGTTAGATTACTGTCTTTGGTTTTAGAGATTCTCCAATCAAAACAAAGAGGAAGACAAGCACAAGCAGCAAGTCAAAACCCACATCTTTCAACCATACTCCTAACGATATGGCGAAGTAGGTGGGAACGAGAATGCGAATTGCAAGAAGTAGTTTAAATGAAGAAGATGCAATCTCTGAAGCAAGAAATTTATTCGCCTGATGTTTCCGGTTTTCACTCGCGCCCACTATCAGGGACAGTCACAGACAAGAGTACTAGACGCACGATGAGTGCAGTATAGTTAGGGAGCAGTTGCCATGCAACCACATGCCTGTCAAGATAAGCAGCAGCTGTGTTCATCTTGGCGGTTCGTATTTGGTGCGATGAGTAGTTAATTGCCGTATTTTTCTCTCCGCTTTCTATTCTTCACGTGATAGTAATCCGATCATTTAGCCTGTTGATCGTGTTGCTAACAGTGATGTCCACACAAGGTGTCTGGCTACGAGGATGCGCGGTAAGTCGCATCATGCAGGTGGTGACTGCTACGCACGATACTTCACCGACACCCCAATCTCATCTGTGTGCCTAAAAGCCACACCCCGGTAACCGCCTCGACTGACGGACCAAACCAGACAAGGATATCAGGTGTTGTGTGTCCCTAAAACCGGTAACTACATTTCTCATCTCATCTCCTCTGCCCTTCCCAACTTTTAGAATGTTCCACGGAGAGGGTAACATGCAACCTTGTAGGCGACGCAGGCTAACTCGGGTCGCTCTCTACTAAACTAAGTTGTGACCAACAGTGGAATTCGGCAGCCAACTGTGATGTCTAAGCAGTCCTGTTTAGGAACGGCACTGCTTACCTATCGGCGGGAAAGAGGTAGAAAAGGTACCCCAAACAAATGTTGAAATCATGTCATCTGCACGCAGATAATGGCTTGCAGATGTACAACTCACGGTCGAAGCAATCAACTAAACAATAATCCCTATCCCTTCTCCCTGCTATCCCCATACCTGTCTCTTCGAAGAGGCAATTTCCCTACCGTCATCAGGGCCTACGCTACGCAATGACCAACCCCGACGAAGACCTCCTGCAGACTGTGCCGAAGACGGACAGGCGGATTCTCCCTGGCGACTTCAGTGCCCTGGACGGGACAGGCAAGGATGCCTGGGTGGGAGTGCTGGGTCCCCATGGTTCGGACGGCTGAAACGATAACGACTTCCTCCTGCGCAGCTACACAGAACATGGCCTCCTCCTCACCAACACCTTCGCCAGCCTGCCGACGCGGAAACATGCAACTTGGATGCATCCCGATCACGACGCCGGCAGCTGCTGGACCACGTTCTTGTAGGAAGGTGGGGTTGACAAGAGGTTCTAGTAACTAAGACGATCTAGAACGCCTACGGCTGGACCAATCACCGTCCCGTCATCTAGAAGATGAGGCTTCAATTGCAGCTTCGCAGGAGATCACAAGGAAAGCGACCGCCAGGTAAGTTAAATACTGATCTACTGACTTCGTCTGCTAACTGCTTATATTTCAGTAATCAATTGGTTGAGCGCCTGGAAGACCTGCAGACTCTGAGCGACAACGCCACGTAAAGACCCAGTGCCGCCAACCTCGGGACGGCATACACTTCACCGCCCTTGACAGCAAAAAGGATGGTTCGACGACAACGACGAAGAAATTCGCAACTGTCGCTCGTCGAGAAGAAAATGCTGCGGAAACCCTACATCGACGGTGGGGCTGACGCTGGAAAAGCGGCTTTCTTCATATGTCGCTGTTTGGTGTAACAACGATTGCAGGAAATGCAAAACACCTGGATGAGCATCAAGGTTGAGGACATCCAAGGGTACGCAGACCGCAATGAAACGAAGAACAACACATGCCACGTATTTGGACACATTAAATTTTAAAAGCTATATGCTTAACGAAACAGTCAGTTTGTTGATTTTCGATTGCAACTTCTTTGCGTCATCAACACGCTTGACTTCACTTCGTATTTTAATGTCATCTGCGAATGTAAGAGCCTCGTTATCCGGTTCGTTAGATTAACGGAAAAGTAGTGAGCCTAAAACAGAACCCTATGGGACACCGCTCCCATTTTTGCCCATCTCGAGGTAGAGTTTCCAGCAACGACTCTGCACTCTGGAGGACAAAAAACTCCTGATCCATCTAACCATTCCTCCTCTAATCCTTACATCCCAAATCCTTTGTAAAAGAAGCCTCCGTGGTATACTATCAAAGGCCTTCTTCAGGTCAAAAATATGAAATCTACTGAATGACCCTTATCTGTGACGCTTGTCCATTCCTCTTGCGAGTAAGAAAGACTCGTGAGGCATGAGCGTCCTGTATGAAATTCCTGTTAGGCATCGCAGAATATTTGTTTTTTCCAGGTATCCTAGCAAATGTCTTTTGATAATCCGCCCCATTATTTTACACGCGATGCAAGTTAGACTGATAGAACGATAGTTTTCGCAGTCAACCCGTGAACCACCTTTATGGATACGGGTGATGAACGTACACTTCCATTCTTCCGGGAGTTCGCCTTCTTCAAATGTCTTTGAAACATGATAGATAGTGGTTTGCACCGTTTGTGCACACAGTTAGTTCGTACAGTGCTAGTGCAGGAATTCTATCCGCACCAGGCGATTTGGCAGGCTTCAATCGGGAATAATTTGGCCCTAACTATGGCCGATGAAAAGCGTAGTCCCTCGATTGGGAAGGGTAGGGAGGGGGAAAGAGGGAAAAGGGGGAGGAGGAGGAAGATCACGTCCGTAGTTCCGCAGTGTTTTTGGAATCTGCTTTGCGTTTCCAAAAAGCCTCTGCTTCATATGAGTTTTCAGGTGATTGAATAGAACATAGGCAATAATTTAGCCTACGATGTTGAGAAGGGAGATGCACCAGTGGCTAGCACAGAATTTATGTTTCCCCTTCTTTTGCAGATATGCACGACGGTGTGATCTTTTAGTCGCATCCCATGATAAAAACCGTGAAAGCTTTTTCATGTTTTTGGGTTTCCCTACCTGGGTACTTCGTGCATTGGTTTCAACTGGATATCTGTTGCATTACTTTGACTGTTCCTATGTGGACTGATGAAGGATTAATTTTTCCGTTGAAATTTAATAGAATAAGTCTGTGAATGACCTCGTCACATATTGTAGGCAGATTTTTAGGACGCCGTGGAAGTGGGTGGCGCAACCCTCCAAGATATGTAACTTTTCCATCAGGAGGTTTGCTCAAGCCTGGTTAAGTCGGCGCACAGCCCCCTTAGATTCAGTTCAGTTCAGTTTTATTAAGCGAACGCCTTTTAACACCCAATTGGTTACAGACTGTCTAATAAGAAGCCTGATAAGTGGAAAATTGAGGAAAGGTTTGTTTACATAATTGGATGCAAAAAGCAGACAGCCGCCTACTAGATAAAAAATAGTAAATATGAGCGCCTACTCACTCATTACAAGTAGCAAGTTAGTGACTGGTTACGTGAGTGCCGGTATGGCCGACAATTGGGAAGCTTGATAAGTGTCGAGTACACACTTAGATCAGTCTACACAGGATGGGGGTACAACATTGGTGGAAGGATGTTCCACACTGAAACCACCCCACTATTGAAGAAAGACTTTTTGTCCATTGATTCTTGTTTTGCCTGCGCGCAGTTTTAGGGGATGACCTCGTGTAAGCTTGAGTGAAAAAATCGCTGGAGACAAAGCAACAGTTCAGGTCATTAATAACGCGGAAGTTTAGTATAAGATCACCACGCGGTTGCCTGTAGGAAAGGGGAAATAGGTTGAGAGTTGACGGTCTGCTTCTTTAGGGCAGTGCTCCTAGACCTTTTGTCATTATTGTTGCCCACCTGTAGACGTTTCTAAGACGATACAGGCATTGAAAATTCAACGACATTGTGCCTGTATGGCTCATTTTGGATCCGGTCGCGCGAAGTTGTCAAATATTTTGGAAAAAGCTGTCTTTGTCAAATTCCATAAGCTCTCCTCATATGAGCTACAATATAGGTATGGCTGGCCGAGCCGCCTTTGCGTAGTTCAGTGTTAGTTTGTGTGAAAATATAACCCACGCACCCGGGTGCTTCTGCCTGCCAACTCGTTGCACTGGTGTACCGTTTGGGAAGTAAGTCCTGGGCCTGAAGACTCTTCAGCTACCGAGTTGAAGAAAGTTGCACTTACCTACACTGAATTGCGTGAGTCAACGCTTCGACCAATCTTTGGGTATGCTCAAGTTTATTTGCAGGTGGTTTTCGTCTGTAGCATTTTGAACGACTTTCTGCAATCTTATGGCGTAAGCGAACAGGATGACATCACAGTCTAGGTCCCTGATGAAATCATTAATGAAAACAAGGGATTACGTGGGGCCTAAGACTGAACCCTGTGGGACGCCACTCACCACGCTTACCTCTGAGAACTGTTTGCGCCCCACTTGCGCTCTTTGGGACCCCCTAGACGAATAGTTCTGGATCCATACAAGGAAGTTTCTACAAGCTCCTGTGCTCTGCAACTTGTGCAAGAAACGTTGATGAGAAACGCTATCGAAGGCCTTTTGAAGTTGATGTAGGTTGCGTGCACAATATTGTCTTCGACGTGTACTTTGGTCCAGCGCCGAAATAAAAAAGAGAAGATTCGTAAGACAGGACCTGCCACAGAAGAAGCCGTGTTGGACATCGAATTAGAGCGATTCTGCACGAGAAACCGCATCAACACTCTCTCAATGATTTTCTCCATGATTCTGAAACAAATGGAGGTAAGGCTCACTTGTCTGTAGTATTTGCAGACGCTGGACATCCACTCTTAAATAGCAGAGTGATGGTAGCAGACTAACAATCGGAGAGTAGGCACCCCGAAGTAAATGACACGTAGAAGGGCAAGTTTAGTGGTTTGGTCATTTCAGAAGCTAGCTGCCTCAACAGCTTAGCTGGCATTCCATCAGAGCGTGGGGATAACCGCTAAAGTATTCTGTATTGATATTTCCTAGATCCCTTAACGTTTTCGAGCCCCATAAGTTGTTCTGTATCTCTCACAGACCCCAAATTATCAACAGCAGCCCCAGTTGTCATATGTGATCCCCCGAACAGCCACACCATGACGCAAGAAAATTGTCTACATCAGCTAGATCCATGACTTCCCCAGTTTAACAGGGTCCTGCAAGCTTTATAGTTAAATCAACTATGGCATGGCGTCAGAACGGTGAGACTCCGAAACTGAATCGGACTCCGATCCAAAAGAAAGGTTGTACAATTCCACTTAGGGGTACGCCGCCATCTCTTAGATCTATGAAGCCTTTAAAACCCAGCACGTCTACAAACCACATTGCTCCAATTATACCCACAAATAATTATCTCTCCTGCGTACCGGCTATTTACCTAAGCCCTACTATATATCCAGTAAATAATTCATACGTGAATTGACCCAACCTAGTTCAGGTTTCCCGTCACTTGCGGCCAACTGATCTCAGGTAGGTCAACCTAACTCCTTTGACTTCCAACCTAGACCTGGCTCCCCACCCTTTTATTCTTGTAGCTGACTACCCTCCCCCACCAGCCTCTACCTTCCTTTATGCCCCTCCACCTACTCCTCCACCTCATCCTCCTCCTCATCCTCCTCCTCCTCCTCCTCCTTCTCCTCCACAATTTAACTACCAACAAGACAATCCCCGTTCTAACTCCTCTAACATTCCACTGCTCAAATACTATATCCCCCACACCGCTGAGCTCTCCTGCTTAGCCTTCTCTTGCTCACTCCGCGTAAGTCAATAATGTTAGGCTAACTGGTATTTATTCTCCAAGCATCATTAAATCACAGCTTAAATTTCCGACTTCAAATGTTTTCTTCTAAATCCCGTCGACAATAACCTTGCTATTCGAAATAGATTAGATAGTATATTACTGAATGTCAGGTCTGTGATAAACAAGATGGCCCAAATCAGAGCCATTGCTCTCGAAATGCTGCCTGGTATTAGATGCATAACAGAATCTTGAACCTATTCTCTAATTTCTCACTCTGCCTCTCTCATAGATGCCCTGCCAGCACCAACCCCGCCTAGCCCCGCCTGGCCCCCTCAATAATGGCGGGGCTAGAGGGGGCCATGAGGGGGCTAGGCGGGGCTGTGGCAGGGCATGCAACGCGATAGCCCCGCCTAGCCCCGCCAGCGAAAAAAAAATGCGCAGGGGACGCCACATCCCCGCCCACTTTTGGCACCACTTTAAAATATCGTCCTGTATAACGAGTCCCCTGAGGAGCAGTGCCTAACTGTTCCCACGGGTTACACGTCGGAACCCACCCTGCGTA